GTCAGTTAGTCAAATGCATAGTATACGGTACAAATTTTAACCTATACATATAAAACACCTATACCTATGAAATACTTAAACACTTCCAAATACACAAAACGTAATAAATACAATATGGTACATAATAATATAATACAGTCATTATAAAAGTAACTACATACGGTACTGTACCGAAGAGAGAAAAATTGGGTGTGTGTATGTGTGAAGGTATACAGTACTGTAAAAAATAATGAAAGTTCTTAAAACAGTTTAGACAGAAAAGATCATGACTAAAGGTTAATACTTACCGTCGCTCCATCGCCGTCTGGCATCCCGGCAGCGGCATTCGCGACGTAACGTTACAAGAACCGCTGAGCCCGCGCAATGTTCTTATGGGCGTCACAAAATAGTGCGCGCGTGGATTATCAACTATTCTATTCCAGTCAAAATTTTTAATATATTGGGCCATATGTCCATCCGTTTGCAAGTGCGTCAGTCGCACCTTATTAACCCGGACACTCACTGTACTAAAAATGAACCCAAAAGTAATCTGCCTAAACCGACTTCGTAGTTGGCTATAGGCCTACCCCTTAAGAGTCAGTCACATTTCAACTTAAAAAACATTTTTCATCGGACTAAAATATGTTCGACTTCAAAATGTAAAAAATAGTAAACTCAAGTTTCTGAATTTTTAAGACCTTAATTGGTTCAACTCGAGTTTAAGACTTTTCAACACTCCGCAGACCCATGGGCGTCGCCGCCATTAAATCTTAGGGGGACGTGTCCCCCTCACATTTCATAATTATTCGTTTGGACCCCCCCAATTTAACATAAAATATTAGTTCACCCAGCGCTGTTTCTATTGCTTCGCGAAAGAATCCACTCAGCTTGATCGATATGAGAATACACATACGGCATCTACTTAATTAATACATTTCTGTTGGAGGGTCCCCAGAACCCCCGCCAGTGTGTCCCCCAAACACACAAAATTCTTCTGACGCCCCTGCCGCAGACATCCCTAAAAGGTCGGCCACCTCGATCCATTTCAACACACTGCAGAGGTTAGTGTGGGATTCATTAATTGGCTCCTGGACAATTCCGCTGACCTCCATTAGGTGGCAGGGTTGTTACACAGGTGAAAACCCAGCAGTTTATACTACAGTGGAAACGTTCCTGGTCTATGCCAGTTAGCATTATGCTGTGTTAGAAAGCGTTTCTACTGTAATTTACAGGTGCATCTTCTCACATGACAGCAACACCAAGTGATGGGGGTGATGTGTGGCTCCTACCGCCAGCAATGAGTGGAGGTAATTCTTAGTAGCCAAGGCGAATCATGTTTCCTCCTCCTGCCGAGATTCCAGTAATTCTAGGTAGCCACAGCCAGTCACGTTGCCTTCTGCAACCAAGTTTCAGGCAAAATCTTGGTTGCAGCAGCCAATTACGTTTCCTCCTCCTACCAAGTTTCGAGGCAAATCTTGGTAGTGACAACCAATCATATTTCTCCCTCCTACATTCACAGCCTTGCTTTGCCATGGGAGGAGTCAAGCCACATTGTTTCCCTCTGGCGGGGGCTCGCTGACTACGACCAGGAACGCACGGTGCATGCTCTACATCATGATGTCGGCATCAACAAAGGATGCTTTCGGGCCACAAAGAAAATTGTAGCACCAAAAAGGTACAGTGATATGAGCAGTTGTGCTAATTATCTCCCATTGCTCCGATACTTATGCCTTTAGTAACCTATATTGTTACTGGTCTTTGTCAGGTGCTTTGTTGGAGCACACAGTCCTGCACAGTGGCCAGACTGTAACAGGATTGTAGGGGAAGCATTTCTGAATTTGTGTCTGGAGGTTCCAAACCCAAAGTGCACTGATGGTGTCACACTTTTCAGGTGGAGGAGACTACCATCCAACTGCCAAAGTGAACAGCAGCCGGTCTTTGAAATAATCCAGCATACGCTGTGTGTTTGGTAAGTGTGTTCAGCCAACATTTGGGTTCAGCTGAACTGAGAATTTATTTTATGGCTTAATGATAAATGCTGACTAAGGTTATTTTAAAAATGTCTTGTTTCTGGTAGGCATAACAATTTAGTCAGGTGGCAAGAGCTTGCTGTGCTGTCTGTGGACATCCCTCTCCCCAGCCCCAGCCTGACAACAGCCACCCCTCTACCAGACCCCAGGCAAACGGAGCCAGAGCCTGCTGGACCCCCTTCTGGCCTGAGGCCGTTCGCCTTTTCCTCCCCCCAGACCTGTCCGGCAGGCTGTGACGACATCCGTTGTCAGAGACGACAGTGAGCTGCCACTTCTCTTACTCCGCAACCCCAGCCTGCCCCTCTGCTCCCTGCATCAGTCCCGCATGCCCCTTACCCGCCCCGCCGACGCCTCAACCACCCATACTGACCCCACTGACACTGCAGACTCCCTTAACCGTCCCACTGACACGGCAGCCAACCTTGCAGGCAGACTCCCCCCGCAACCTGCCCGGGTTAAAGATTTGCAGAAATTTTTATGATTGTATATTTTGTCATTTCAATTAATCTATTAATGGCTACATTATTATATTGTATTATTATACATGATTTTTATAAATATAAAGTTTTGCTGAAAAAAGGTGTAGATTTTTTCCTCCATTGAAAGCTATATACATTATTTTCACAGTTACGGCTGGAGCTGGATTTGATCCCACGACCTTTTGGTCCATAGTCCAGTGTTTTATATACTTAGTGACAAAAAAAAGCTAAGCACCCAGACGGAGTTGTGGAAATGAATCTTTGCGTGATGAAAGGTCATGTGACTTTATTGCAATGATTATAATATCAGATCAAAGGGGCAACAGAGTTGGCAGTATCGGCACACTGCTGGTTCCATGTCAGTAGGGTGTGGCACCCCCACCCCGATCTGGATACATGCGGCGATACCATGCGGAAGGGAGTCGTACAGCTGTTGTATATTCTCCTGTGGCAAGTCGGCCCACAGCTGTTGTAATTGGCTCTTGAGATCCTGCAGATTGGCACTGGGTCTGAGTTGACGTCCAAGCTGATCCCACACATGTTCCATTGAGGAAAGATCAGAGGACCTGGTTGGCCATGGGAGGACCTCAACATGATGCAGGCAGTCCATAGACACACGTGCTGTCTTAGGAGGGTTAAGACATGCAGACGCAGGATATCACTGACGTAGCGCTGTGCCATCAGGGTCCCCCGAATCACTACCAGAGATGACCTGAAGTCATACCCTATGGCTCCCCACACTATGATGTCATACCCTATGGCTCCCCACACCATGATGTCATACCCTATGGCTCCCCACACCATGATGTCATACCCTATGGCTCCCCACACCATGATGTCATACCCTATGGCCCCCACACCATGATGTCATACCCTATGGCTCCCCACGCCACGATGCCAGGAGTAACACCGGTGTGTCTCTCCACAACATTGGCAGGATTGGTCCTCTCCCCTCAGCGCCACAACGGTCATCCATGGTAATGCAGAACCGAGATTCATCGCTGAACATGGTCATCAGTCCATGCCTCTCAGTTACGGCACCACTCCAAACACAGCCGTCTCTGTGCTGGTGTTAACGGCAGCCTACGCATGGGACGGTGAACCCGTAGTACAGCTTATGCCAGTTGTCAAGACACAGAGTGGGAAACGGGGTGTTGTAGAGAAGTCCAATACCCGTGTCAGGATGGCAACCTTCACAATGTGTGTGGGTGCCCTCACGTGCCCATTGGTTCCAACATCGGGCGACTGCGACATCTCCATGCCTCACATGCCGGGCAGTTGCATAATATGACCACCAGGCCTCATGCAAACCCACAATGTGACCCCTATCAAACTCCGTCAAGTGCTGGTAATGCTGTCTGATGCATCTAAGAGGCATCCTCTGTGTCTGATGAGTAGACATGCCAGCTCCTTGAAAATCAGATCATTGATATAGCTATTAGTGGTCTGCATGTGTACCAAATTTCATCCAAATCAGACCATTGCTTCTGGGTGCTTAATTATTTTTTTTGAGTGTATTATATAATAGTCAGAGTCAAAGTGAACTTTATTGTCATCTCAGCAATATACATGTATAGAGTGAGACGAGACGACGTGGCTCCAGCTCTTACAGAGGATTTTATTTCTTTTGCATGTTGAGCTGCAATATTTGGAAACCAAAAGACCACAGTAAAAAAACAGTCTACTAAAAATGTTTGTATATATTTACACGTAAAGCAATATGTAATTTTTGCAGCATTCAATACTCCATAAAAGTTACTGTAAAGGATCAAATGAAATCCAAATGAAAGGCACATTATAGTAAAATGTAGTTTAACTGCCAAGCCGAAGAATATTCATTCTACATCATAGTCATGTTTCAGGGCTGGATCAGGACAGAAACCTGCATCTACAGCAAATGTTCTCCCTTACTAGGCAATGGGGGACAAATCCTCTGTTGTGATCTATCCATACCTTGAAATAGAAATTCGACTCACCTATGGCACTTGCACTCCCATCCAACACATATTATATGTTCTAGTCACTCTTTGACAATTTGTCATGTTTAGAAACATGTGAACAGTTTTGAGTCATTGTGTTTAAGCCAGTTGTATTGTCGGAGTAAAAACTACACTACCCATTACCTAAAACGGCTCTGACGCGTGATGTTTGCGCCATATAAAAGTCGCGCACGTGATACGTCATGTCCTCTTTATGTCGACGTCTCTGTAGGAAGGTGAGTTTAATTATGGGGTCCCGGCGCTTTAAAACATCCATATGAATCCGTGTGATCCGTGTGAACGCAAAGCCATCCCTCGTTTGTATTAACAGACTTATGTTCCTCCTTAGGCGTGTCTCACAATATGAGGGCTAAGGTAAGTATTTTATTCGCCTTTTGATACACGTAATAGTGTGTGGTTGAGGTGCTTAATGGCTGCAAGTACAACTACGAGCAAAATTAAACTTGAACGTATGTGGTTCTTAAAACATTTGCTTTTCTATGCTTTTTACGTATACGTTTGAGATTATCGCGATTTGCCATTTGGAATTTGATAGTGGTTCATCCTGGTGCTCATTTTACGTTGCCGACTGCAGAACAACTGCAGTGTACCTTACTATTAATGTCACCAAGTGCCAGGTGTTAAATTAACATTAGTGCATCTTTAGACGTCAGATTAACAAGCCCTTACAGGCACTTGTTTTGAACAAAAATATGTTTTGTCTTTCAGTGGAGGAAGAAACGCATGCGCAGGTATGATTTGCCTCTGATTTTATTGGGTTCTTTACACTTTTGTACCAAAATATCCTCGTCTCCATAGTTTCGTATATCATGGAAAGCAAATTGCATGACCCTTGAACAAAAAACTTAAAGATTACGTTATGATTAGACGTGTCTTGAGTCTTGTAATCACAATTTATGGTTTGTATTTGAAATGATTAATTCCTGATTCCTAGTCGATTTTATTAATCTTATCAATCCATTAAAAATAATTATACAGTGGTTTCTACCTCTTAGGTTCCAGTGCGTTGGTGCTGTGAACATTTAGATTACAGCAGTTGGATTCAGTCCGAAGTACTTAATGGTTTTATGAGAATATTATAACGTTTTAAATGTTAGCGTTTGCTATGCAAGAGTGAAAATCTGAGGCAAAGAAAAAAATGAAACTTAACTGTAACTGTTAAGGGAAAAGTAATGGTCATTTTTGATTTCAGGTTTAGGATGTATCACTACAGTGTTTTGCTTGCCATAAACAAATTGTGCAGTTCATATTTCCAGCTTCATCCTGTCATGCACTTGTTGATGGTCTTTGTGATTCAGGCTGAAGCGCAAGAGGCGAAAGATGAGGCAGAGGTCTAAGTAAACCACCCTCCCCTCACCACAGTCAACCTGCGGCTGCAGTACATGCTGGCTTTTAACAGAGACTGACTTTCCAGATGAGCCCGAGATGGACTGGCACTAAATGCAGCTCTAAGGGAATGGCTCACTGCCAAATGACTGCTGACAGCAGTGCGTGGAGTAACTCTCGGGATGTTCTGAAATACAGTTTACCTATTTAGCAATTTGAATAAAAAAATGTTCAATTGTGCAAGTTGTTACTGAGTCTTTGCTGTCTTTGAGGATTTTTGATCTTTGTAAAATTTGACCAGAATGGTTACGGATTCTCATCTGCAGATAAAACATTTGTCACATGAAGTTAAGTCAGTTTTATCTTCGTAAGTAGGCGTGCTGTCCTTAGACACTTACACTGGTCTTTACACAGACCAGTATGATTTTAAGTCTAGTGGGAAAAACGTCATGATAGTGTTGAGATGTGCGGATAAAAAATATCTTGTACTAATAGCTGTATTCGTAAGTAAAACAGCTTTTCTGAATACTGCGAGTATTCCCTAAGTGGTCATGAATCTTATTGGTTGTCAAATAATGAGCAATGGTTTACATAACCAGTTTATAATTCATAATCTATAGCGCTTATGTGGTGAAGGGTATCTCATAGCTTCTCCTGTATAACCAGCTTCGCTAGTCGGGCACAGTCTGCTCCTAAAGTGTGGCACTACAACGGGCACGGCAGGTAGGTATCTCCCTCACCTGATTCACCCTGTGCTGCTGGCTGATCCAAAAACTTGCAGGTGATTCACCTGGGCTCTTCAACAGAAGGTAATGCCTTTATGTACCATGGACTGTACTCCCCTGTCACTTTATCCACTCTTGCTCCACTATTAACTGGAAGCAGAATTTTTATCAAGATCAATAGCAAGGTGAGGAATAGGGCCTCTGGCTCATATAAGTATCGTTACTTAAAATGGCAACATGTTCAGACACTGCAGCTTTGCAATGTAGTACTTTTCTGTCTGCCTCTTAGTTTGAACATTTAAGAACGTGAACATATTCTGAGTCAGATTGTATCAGCCAAGTATACATGCATACAAATAATTGGATATAGTGTGTTTGCTCCTAGTACACAGAAAAAGAAAAAAAAAACGTGAATGGATAAGGACAAGCATGAAGGCTATGTATTAGTCCAGAGGTAGATTGTGGATCAGGTGTTGAGCAGAGCAGCCACTCGAGAGGAAGCTGTTTTTATCTCGATGTGGGGATTCTGATGGACTAGGGCTGTCTCCCTGAGCAGGTCATGGCCAGGGAGGGGATGGGTGATGAACTTGTTAGCTCCCCTTATGGTTCTTGAGGTGTGTAGTAAATCACTGGGGGTGGGTGTTGAACCCAATGGAACTGATTTGATTATTTGGAAGGGGGGGGTGGATTTCTGGAAGTGCACAATCATCCAAGCTTTTTCAATGCCAGATTACTTGCTAACTAAATGGTTCATGTAAGGCTCAGAATCTCAGGGTCTAATCCCTGCATTAGCTGCTCAAATACCAGCCTGCTCAAACAATTCCAAGTATGATACTCTTAAAGACAATATTTCATCAAAAAAGAATGCATACCTTGTCACAACAGTACTGTAACAAGTGATTTTATTTTTAGTGTGCAAAATGGCAAAATTAATAGACAATAATAACGAAGATCTAATTGTTATAGTCTCGCCCGAAGATGCTGGGCTTGGCTCCAGCTTCCCTGCGACCCAGATGGATAAAGCGGTATGGATAATGGATGGATAATTGTTATAGTAGCATTTTACGTGGTCTGATCATTCATTTCTATGTGTACAAAAGCTAAAACAAAATGTTAGATTCTAATTGTCTCTGGTCTCTTGCCAATTCTCTGTAGAGTGGATGTAGGCTATAGGGCTACTGTCCATAAACTGCTGGTTAGAGACTCTCAAAACACACCCTTAACTGATAATAGGGACCTTTTTGGGAACGGCCGGGCTTTTACAATTGGGACGGGGCTAAGTCATGCTATCCCAAAACATGGCAGATACTTTACCTGCCTGACTGAGAGCAGCACCATAGAGGCCATAAATCTGAGGCTGTTTATTCTCCCATCTTTAGCTCATGTCTGACTGTGACCCAGGTGCTCATACACACGGCCTCCACTAAATTTAACAGCTATCTAGAAACAGAGTTGAGTGAGATTAGAAAGAATATATTAACTATTATTAGACCAAGACTTAGAGCTAAATGTTCCACTGGGGACTCCTGTGTAGATAACTTAATATCAATCCCACTTATAAGATTAAATTGGCCACAAAATAAACCCATTATAAAATGTTCATTACTGAATGTTCACTCATTATGAATCAAATCACTTCTTATCAATGACATGGTGCTTGACTGTGGTGCAGACCTGTGCTCATTAACAGAAACCTGGCTCAGACCCACAGATGCCATTCCTCTTGTTGGCTTAGTTTTGTACAGAAACCATGTGGCTCAGTTGCGTCTAATGACACTGCATCTATTGTCAAGTTAATTACTTTAAGGAAGTAGAGACCTGGATGAATAAAGCTTTTTATCACTAAATGCTCAGAAATCCGATGCTCTGTTTTGAAGGTGAGTAAATCGGAATGCTATAATCTCCACACTCCAGTCTGAGGGGCTGAACTTTCCCTCAGCAGCTCAGCCTGTAACCCAGGCGTTATCTTGGATACAAGCCTCTCAATCAAATTGCATGTGGATGCAGTGTCGAAGGTTTGCTCCCTAATGTGTAATATTGCCAAACTACAATGATTCCTTATTAGTCGAGAAATTGATGCCTGCCTTTGTATATAGTAGGTTACACTGCTAGATGTTCTGCTATCTGGGAGCACATACCACACATTAAACACCTCGCAGCATATTTAAAATACAGCAGCTCGAGTCATCATCAGGAACAGAAAGTATGAACACATCCATTTTCCAAACTGCGTATCCTTCTGGATCATAGGGGGTCCAGAGCCTATCCCAGAAGCTACGGGCACAAGGCAGGAAACAACCCAGGATGGGGGGGGGGAGGGGGCTAGCCCATCGCAGGGCACACTCACACACCATTCACACTTATGGGCAATTTAGTAACTCAAATTAGCCTGTTTCCCTGGGGGTAAACTGGAGTACCCAGAGGAAACCCCACGATGACATGGGGAGAACATGCAAACTCCACACACATGTGACCCAGGCGGAGACTCAAACGCAGGTCCCAGAAGTGTGAAGCAACAGTGCTAACCACTGCACCACCATGCCACCCCAGTATGAACACATAACCCCTGCTATTAGTTCCCTGCACTGGCTTCCTGTTAGGTTCAGAACTGGCTTCAAAGTTCTCCTACTTGCATATAAGGCACTTAAAGGTCTAGCACCTGCCTACCTAACAGAAGTACTTCAAATTTACAAGCCACGTCGTCCAGTTGGATCAAAGTACACAGGTTTCCTTGTCATTGGTGGTAAAGCATTATGTTACAAGGCCCCTACATTGTGGAATTGTTTGCTAACCTATGTTCAGGATGCCAAATCAGTCTCAGTCTTTAAATCTTGACTGAAGACTTACAACCCCATTTCCAAAAGTTGGGATGCTGTGTAAAATGTAAATAAAACAAAATGCAATGATTCACAAATTGTATAAACCCATATTTAATTGAAAATTGAACAATGACAACATCAAATGTTGAAACGGTAATGTTATTGTTTTATGACAATACAAAATGCCTTTTAGCAACTCTGTTGTGAAAGGTGCTATAGAAAAATACATTTAATTGAATTAACCCAATGAGTCACAGATTGCACAATTTTAATATGAACTATGCATGAATATACACAGAGTATATTTTTCTTATATTTCTCAAAATGTTTCATATGTATCTGCAAGTCTGTATCCCAGCCTGCTCCCTCTGAAACTTCCTCTGTACCATTGTGTGGTGTATGGGAAATCAAGTGCTGAAGAGGTCTGAGATTGTCCATCTGTTGCAGAGCTCCAGGTTGTAGGAGGAATGAAGGGCAATAACAGGACAGAGGTACTGGAAGGGATGCAGGGGCAAGGAGCGCTAGACCTGGGCCTGTAAATCCTTGGCAAGCTGCATGAAGATTCTGCTGTGGAATCACAAGTGAAGTGGTGAGCAGGTATCTTTGTGTCCTTGCAGTGCCAGCAGTGTTTGGAGGAAGGGCAAAGACAGGAGGGTCACCTCTGGAGGTGAGAGTGTCCCCCTGGGCTGCTGAGCACTGCTCTACAGGAACTGACACTGCTGCCTCTGGAGGAGGTTTGCCATGGTGCAGAACATCACATTTCTGTGCCCAAGTACGTCTGCAATACCTACAAGTGAAACTACTTAAGGCAGTTAATTCGCTTGTTAATTCCGTATTATTTGCAGCTATTCCTGATGCAAAAAGCTTTATTAATAAGTTTGACTGACTCACCACTGTGCAAGTGTGGTGCTGTTGACGTCTGCCAGTTGGATGGTAATCTCCTGCATTACCTAGCCTTGTTTAAAACCCTGATGTACATGCATACACAGGACCACCTGAAAAGTGTGACACCATCAGTGCACTTTGGGTTTGGAACCTCCAGACACAAATTCACAAACGCTTCCCCTACAATCCTGTTACAGTCTGACCACTGTGCAGGACTGTGTGCTCCAACAAAGCACCTGACAAAGACCAGAAACAATATAGGTTACTAAAGGCATAAGTATCGGAGCAATGGGAGATAATTAGCACAACTGCTCATATCACTGTACCTTTTTGGTGCTACAATTTTCTTTGTGGCCCGAAAGCATCCTTTGTTGATGCCGACATCATGATGTAGAGCATGCACCGTGCGTTCCTGGTCGTAGTCAGCGAGCCCCCGCCAGAGGGAAACAATGTGGCTTGACTCCTCCCATGGCAAAGCAAGGCTGTGAATGTAGGAGGGAGAAATATGATTGGTTGTCACTACCAAGATTTGCCTC